GCTCTAATCTCATAGTCGATGAAAGCGACATGTCCCACGGAATGAGCATCAACGAAAAATTGAAATAAATTTGAGAAAAAATAAATCAAAATCAATGTCAAATCTGGAACTTAACCCCCAACGGATGGTCCCACTGCAGAAAAACCAAAACCAAACCACCACCTGAGAGCATCTCCAACAGACGCCGAACGCGGCGCGCGCAAAAAACAGCTTTAGCGCGCGCCCATCGACTGGTTTGGCGCGGCGCGCTGCGCCCGCTCCAGCATCGCGCTGAAATGCAGCGCGCGCGCCGCTCCAGCAGCGCGCTAAAATGCAGCGCGTGCGACTAGAAATGTATGCATTTTTGAAAGTAGAATTTTTTTTAAAAACTAGATAGATTGCATAGATTAAACGATACAAAGGTATTTTACATCCGAAACATAGATTGCATAAAATAAAAACGACAAACGATAAACATAGATTGCATTAACAAAAAAAAACTACTCTAAGTCGCTATCATCATCACCACTATCATCCTCGGCGGTGTCGTCCGAGGTAGATAGCCAGATGTCCAGCCACCGCTCATCGTTCGGCGTGAAGAACGACCGCCCACCTGCTGCAACGAGGTCGGACTGCGCATTCGCCAACGCCTTCCGCCGATGCCTGTCCAACCGCAACGCGCGGCGCCTTTGCGTGTCCTCCTCGCGGCGCCTTGCCCAGTAGGCTTGCTCGTAGGCGACGTCCTCCGGGTGGCGCTGGCGCCAGTCCGCCATGACCCGCTCGTCCTCCTGGGCGACGAGGAGGCGACGTTGCCGCTCGGCGTGCTCCGCACGGTCTTCCGCCGTGTTCAGACGAGGCAGAGGAGCGAGGTTGAGCGCTTGCTCGAGCGTGTACACATCTTGGAAGTTCATCCTGTCGCGCCGTCCCGTACGTGCCGAGGGCGAGCCGGAGTTCGCCGGAGCGTATCTCCGCGGTGTAGCTGCCGTTGGGCTGCAGGCGGACGCCGCGGTAGCCGGACGCTCCTCGGCGGCGCGGCGGCATGGCGGCGCGTCGGTGGCGGGGCGCTGGAGCGGCGCGTGGCAGAGAGGGAAAGGAAGAGGGGAAGAGATGTGTGTGGAGAAGGCGCGTGGCGCGCGCGAAGCGGCGCGCCAAATCTTGCGCGCGAGCTGGCGCCTTTTCGCGCGCACGCGCAAACGGTTCCCACGCGCGTTTGTTTCCCGCGGCCGCTGGAGCGCGGCAAACCGCGCCGCGCGCGCTAAAAACTGCGTTTACCGCGCGCGCGTCGTTTGGGGCTTCTGTTGGAGATGCTCTGAACTACGCGTCCAGTTGGGGCCTTGTGAATTACTGGGAGGTTATGTGGTCGACACAAAACCAGTGGTCTTGTTGTGCAGAAAGCCTGTTCGTCAGCGTCAGGTTTTCACCAGAATGCCACAGATCTCTAGACCTCGTCTCGAAACTTCCAGCAGCGTAGCAGCACCACCACAAAACATTCCATTCCAAACAAAAAGAAAAAAAACAAACCAAAAAGCGTAAAACACGGCGAACGCCGTTCACACATCTCGCACCGCCCATCGTAAACGCAAAACCGCCCGTACACGTCACACCGTCCCCCGTCTCCCTCACAGACGCGCCGGCCCCACACCCAACCGCGTCCGCGTCACGGCGCGAAGCCACCACCCACACCCACCGGCACGCGGGTCCCATCTAGCCTGCCCCACTGTCGGCGACGCGCAGCGGCCCCACCCCCACCCCCTTCTGGAAGCCCCGGCACGGACGCGAAACGGACAGCCGCCCGCCCCCCTCAACTAGGCGAAAATTCCTTAACCCCGAAGGCGAAAACAGACGCGTCCGATCGGTTTCATATTGTCTCTCTCTTCCCT